CTAGAACAGGGTAGAAGGGGAATTTTTAAGCTTAATCCCACAGCAGAAGGCTACTTTTTCTATTTCATAAGAAGCTTAAATGTACCCCCTTTTTTTAGGCAAATACCACAGAACAGAAGAAAAGCATGAAGTCAGAAAAAGAAAAAAAAAAATCACCAAACTTCCGTACAATCCTGTAAGGCTCTGTATAGGGAACCCGAGACAGACATTTAGCCGATCTTATGAAAGGAAACCAAATACACAAGAAACACACTGTAAGAATGTATGCTTAAAGTGAAACTTGGGTAGTCACCTTATAACATTATCTCGATTCTTGAAACCCCTCTTACTTCCTTATCCTGTTCTATTCATGTCCTCAGTTTTCACCATTTGAAATCAACTTATTTTTGCACTTGTTCACTGGTTTACTATCTATCTGCTACCAATAAAATCTCGGCTCCATGAAGGCAGAGGCCTTGCCAGATTTGCTCCCTGATATGTCTCTGGGGCCTAGAAAAGGGCCTGGAACTTGGTGGGAGCCCAATTAATATTTGTGGAATGAGTAAATGCACCCTCAGAGCAGACTGACACAAGAAAGAATAAGAATTCAGGCAACCCAAGAAAAATAGAAATCTGGACTACATCTGAATAAAACTGCTATTCTCTTAACCAAACTTATTACTCTCTTCTTCTAAAACACATTTTTTATTTTTTGAGTTGGCGTCTCACTCTGTCGCCCAGGCTAGAGTGCAGTGGCACCTTCACAGTCACCCAAGCATCAACCTACTGGACTCCAGCAATCCTTCCGCCTCAGCCTTCCAAATAGACAGAACTACAGGCGTGCGCTACCACGCCTGGCTAATTTTTTAATTTATTGTAGAGACGAGGTCTCATCAAGTTGCCCAGGCTGGTCTCGAACCCGTGGGCTCAGGCAATCCACTTGCCTCGGCCTCCCAAAGTGCTGGGATTACAGGCTGAGCCACCGAGCCTGGCCTAAAGCATATATATATATATATATATATATATATATATATATATATATATATTTTTTTGTTTTTTGAGTTGGAGTCTCACTCTGTCGCCCAGACTGGAGTGCTGTGGCCGCTCCTGGCCACCGCAGCCTTGGCCTGCTGGGCTCC